GGCAGTATTAAAATAATAGTTAACGATAATACTGATAAAATAATACCAGTTGTCTTTATTAATCGCATGCGTCTTTCCATGACGGCTCACTATCTACATTTGTACCACTTTTAGCGCTCTGCAGTGCCCCCATTATTATTCTTTTATCAGTATTATCATTATTAACTATCATTTTAATACTGCCGCTGCATTTCTGTTTATTTGACTCTTCCTGTCCTACCCCACCCTGGGTTTATAAAAACTTCCCTGGCTCCATCGCTGTCTCCGGCTCCAACACTGCTCCCATCACTGAGTCAAAGGATCCTGCTGCTGTCAGCCAAACTCTTAGTGAGGAATGGCTTACGGCACTGTGTGCGTCTGTTTACACATAGCCGAGCTCAGGACCCAATAGGAGCACGTGCGGTGGGACTGCCAGAAGAGGAGGTAAGCCACCTTTCTGTGCAGTATCTAAGCGTGCACACTTTTAAAGGATAGGTTCACCACAAAAAAATTATAAATGTGCATTTTATTTTTTTGCAGATAAAAAAAAAATGTGCATTTATTATTCTTTGTGTTCGGAGCCTGTAAAGCATTTAACTATTGGTCAGCAGATCGCTGGTGCCATGCAGGTCTCCTGCACACTGTCAGTGTCTCTGCTTGCCCATACGTGCTGTATGGGGGAAGCCGATACTTGTGGACAAGAAGACTCAATAAACTACTATGGCGCTCACAGGGCTGTGGTAGTTCGAGGGCTGCTAAGGCTGTCGGGACTTGTAGTTCATTCACAGAACACTGTGAATGAATGACAGGGCCATGTGGGCGGAGCCATGCTGTTTTTGAAAACTGACAGCTAATACGGGGAACCTGCAGTTCTGTCACAAAGGTACTTCTGTTCCTCTAAATACGGGTGGAACAGGTAACGTATTCCCAAAGGTGAATTTATCCTTTTTAGGAAGAAAAAAAAAAAAAAAAAACCTGTTATACCCTTTATTCATATCCACCGTGTAAATCTGCGCAGTGCGATTTTCTTTTTAAGAAAATGTTTCTATTATTATTATACAGTATTTATGAAGCGCCAATAGTTCGCTCAGTGCTGTACATTACAAAGGGGGACAGAACAATAACAATACAATACACGAGGGGATCGAGGTCCCTGCTCTTTGGAGCTTACAATCTAGGAGGGAGGGGATGGTGGCACAGGAGGAGATAGCTGTGGGGGATGGAGTGGTAGGAAGAGTGGAGGAGGTCGGCAAGTTAGCAGGGGGTGGGGTAGGCTTCCCTGAAGAGGTGGGTTTTCAGAGTGCGCCTAAAGGAAAGGAGAGTAGGTGATAATCTGATGGGTTGGGGCAGGGAGTTCCAGAGGATGGGTGACACCCTGGAGAAGTCCTGGAGGCAGGCATGGGAGGAGGAGACCAGGGAACTAGAGGGAAGGAGGTCTTCTATAGTCACAATTGTATCTTCCAAAAGCCTCTCGCTCCCTCTTAGTCAGTGCTGCTTCTCTGAAATTCCGGTCAGGGAGCGCACACAGCAAGGTCACATAACTGACCCACTTGCATCATCTACAATGCTGCCATATATGACACATGGGAGTTCTATTACCAGCGCCCATCATTGCCTCGGAAGCTACTTCCAATCGCTTTTGTAGGAGGAAGAGCCGTGAAGTGACTTGCACCCTCTGGACTCCTGAGCTGCCTGTGTGTATAGGTGCATGGAGCGTTTACATGCCAGGCTGTAGTTTCAGGTGAGAGTATGTTAATGGAACACATAATCGTCGAAATGTAAGGAACACAAGCACATTTTACAATTTCGATTGTCTGATTTTTAAAGGGGATGGTAAACCTGGACAGATTAAGGGCTGGTTCACACTTGACTGTTTTACCAACTCTTGCCAAACGCCCCTATAGTGTTTGGCAAGCGTTGGTCCGGCGTTTACGGAGCGTTTTTTAAAGCTCGGCAAACGCCGCATGCGCGGTTCAGCGGCGGTTGCTAGGTGTTTGCCGAGTGTTAAAAACTCCCTACAAACGCCTATAATGAAGTTTGAATTGTGTTACCGCTCAGCAATTGCGCACCGCAAACGCCGGCCGGGCGTTTGCGGAGCGGCACCATAGACTAGAATAGGAGGCTTCAACGCCTCCTGACTCGACCAGAGGCGTCCGTTTTGCCGCGACGCTAACGCTCCCATTAGAACAACACCATGTGCTGCAATGTGCACAATTGTCCGAGGCGTTTGGGAAGCGGTAAAAACGCTTCCCAAATGCCTTTCTGCCGCCTGCACACAACGCTAGTGTGAACGTAGCCTAAGTGGACCTGGAATTGTACTGCTAGATCGGCTATACAAATTGTTCAATGTATACAAAATCCAGGACAGTGAAGGGGACCTGTGTAACCTCCATCCTATGTTAAGTGTGCAGCTTTCACGTGTATGTGAAATTTATATATTTGAAAAACCCAATTTATTGCAAAATAAAAACACTGATTAGAGAGAGAGAGATCACCTCTACTGATTTGTTCTGGAGGTTGGAAATCAGTGGAGTAGAGACCGCTACTGCAGTGATCTCCACTTGCCTCCTGTCCCGTGCCCAGTAGCTTCCCTGCTGCATTCTGAACACAAGAGGTCGGCCACTCAACACCAGCACCATTCACAGAATGCTTTGCATTTTCCCAATGAATGCAAAGCATTTTCTGATTGGACGAGGTGAACAGTGTGACATCGCTGCCCCACTTTTCTAGCTCATTTGATTAGAAAATGCTTTGCGTTGATGGTGCCCATGCCAGGAGGTTGACCTCCTGTATTCCAGCAGGGCAGTGGGACCAGGAAGCAAGTGGAGATCACTGCAGTAGCGGGGGCTACTTCAATGGTTTTCAAGCTTCTAGGGGGGACGGCCTGGTGTATGCATAGTTACATTGCCCTAGCGTCACTGTATAAAATACTCATACCTGGAATTTCTCTTTGAAATGTGTACATTTGTTTAAGATCCCCACACATTTACTTCCTAGAATTGTGTGACCTGTAGTCACTTTGCCCTGTGAGTAGGCACTGCTGTGTCGCACATTCCACAGAGTCTGCCTTCTGAACTACAGAGATGGTGAGAGGAGGAGTTTTCAAGAGGTGGAGTCAGTACAGGAATCACTGCTTGCAGGCAGCAGGGTACCATGGGATATGTAGTCCTTAGTGCAGGAATCACTGCTTGCAGGCAGCAAGGTACCATGCGATACATAGTCCTTAGTGCAGGAATCACTGCTTTCAGGCAGCAAGGTACCATGGGATATTTAAGCTTTAGTGCAGGAATCACTGCTTGCAGGCAGCAAGGTACCATGGGACATGTAGTCCTTTGTGCAGGAATCACTGCTTGCAGGCAGCAAGGTACCATGGGATATGTAGTCCTTAGTGCAGGTGCAGGAATCCCTGCTTGTTGGCAGCAGCAAGGTACCATGGGATATGTAGTCCTTGGTGCAGGAATCGCTGCTTGCAGGCAGTAAGGTACCACGCGATATGTAGTCCTTGGTGCAGGAATCGCTGCTTGTAGGCAGCAAGGTACCATGGGATATGTAGTCCTTGGTGCAGGAATCGCTGCTTGCAGGCAGTAAGGTACCATGCGATATGTAGTCCTTAGTGCAGGAATCACTGCTTGTAGGCAGCAAGGTACCATACGATATGTAATCCTTAGTGCAGGAATCACTGCTTGCAGGCAGCAAGGTACCATGGGATATATAGTCCTTAGTGCAGGAGTCACTGCTTGCAGGCAGCAAGGTACCATGGGATATATAGTCCTTAGTGCAGGAGTCACTGCTTGCCGGCAGCAAGGTACCATGGGATATGTAGTCCTTAGAATTTGAAGATAAGCAGCCACAAAGCATGTGGGGGGAATGAAGAAGTTGTGGAAAGCGATGGGCAGCAGACAGGCAGAACTTGCAACATGAAAGGAGATTTTTCAAGTAATTTTGCAATGGATTGAGAAATATAACTATTGTTTGTTATTACGTTGATGTTCTAAAGTGAATGCTGTGATCATAGATCTCCTTTAACTGACCATTTTATTTTAGATTCTCCGTAATCCTTGAGACGCTGCGGCAGACTGGAGTAGCTCTCCTCGGAGGCCTGTATCTGAATCCATCCCTGTGATGACAATCGCGGGTCTTTGTGTTGGGTATCACAGCTGTGTGTTGTTGTGATGCTGCAGATGGGTTTATCTGGTCGGACCGGCTGATGACATTATTCAGGCGATGACTGGTACTGTTTGTATGGCCGGTGTTTACTACACGTAGTTCTGCTGCCTCATTCCCCCGGCCGCGTGGGTGAACGCTTTGGGCTACGACGTGCTTCTGTTGTTGCTGTTACTAGATCTATCTGGGGCACCATGCTGCTGACTGTACATCTCCCTCTTGTACTGATTAGCAGCGATGCTTGCATTACAAGCTATACAATGAATAATGTATAACCTGCCTGTACTCTGCCCGGCCAGCACGCCGCCGTTTTAACATTTTATTTGGGAATATTGAACTCTGAAGAGGAGAAGGAGATCATATCGGCATCTTGCTTATGAAGAAATAAAGTGTCATTTGATCTTTGCAATGTTGTATCTCCTGTCATTCTGCTGCTCACTCCTTTGACTTGGGTTTATGGCCATTGCTTTCAGATGCTGGCTTATATTTTAAAACATTGTACAGATACATGTACTTAACCACCTCCTGCCCGCCATATAGTCCAATGACGGGCGCAAGGTGGTTCTCTTATTCTGGGAGAGGACGTCATATGACGTCGTCCCCATTCTAACCGTGCATGCGTGGCTCAGGGAGCGTGCAGCGCGGCGATCGGTGGTGCGCTGTGTCCCTCGGACACAGCGGATCACTGATCTACGGAGAGAGCCGAAGATGTCGGCTTGGTCATGTGATCAGCTGTCTCCAATCACAGCTGATTACATGTAAACAGGGAAATGCCGGTTGTCGGCATTTCTCTCCTCACGAGCTGTCACACTGACAGAGGAGAGGAGAGTCGGTAATCGGTATTCCGCAGAGGGGACATGTACACTGATCATCAGTGTGGCCCCAGAAGTGCCACATGCCAGTGCCCATCAGTGCCACATTAGTGCCTACCAGTGCACATCAATGCCACATAACAGTGCCCATCTGAGCTGTCTTTCAGTGTCACCCATCAGTGTCAGTCAGTCGCCTGTCAGTGCCGCCTGTCAGTGCCGCCTGTCAGTGTCATGAGTGCTGCTTTTCAGTGCCCATCAGTGATGCCTGTCAATGCCCATCAGTGCCACCTACCAGTGTCTATCAGTGCAGTCTATCAGTGCCCATCACTACAGCCTCATTAGCGCACATCAGTGAAGGAGAAAAATCACTTATTTACACAATTTTATAACAAAAACTAAGAAAACTTTTTTTTTTTTTTCCCAAAATTTTCAGCGGTTTTTGGTTTAAGAAAAAATAAAAATCCCAGAGGTGATTAAATACCACCAAAACAAAGCTCTATCTGTCACAAAAAAAATGATAAAAATTTCATATGGGTACAGTGTTGCATGACCGCGCGCAATTGTCATTCAAAGTGTGACAACGCTGGAAATTGGCCTGGGCAGGAAGGGGGTATATGTGCCCTATAGGCAAGGGGTTAAAAGCAAAATGCTGCATTTGACCCCCCCCCCGCATGCAGTGCAGACGCATCTCCAATAGGAAATAATTCCAAGAAATACAACACAATGAAAAGGGGGTCAAGCACAGCCCTAAGCCCTAATTTAGATTTGGGGTTGGTGTTAGAAATTGTGCGGGTTGAGTCATATATTTATTTATTTTTTTAGTGCCCCCTCAAGCTGCATGGCAGTAAACGGGTGTGTTTATATGCTGCGGTTGCAATGATTAGCTTCGTGTCTGCGGAAAAAACTGTCCAGCAATCGGCATCGACTCGTTTTAAGCAAATTGGGAAGCACCGCAAATGCCACACAAATGCATGTAATGTAAAAATGGGGTTCAGACAGGCGGTGAATAAGTGCCACATCTCTTCACTGCCTCAGTAGCCTCTGACAAGTGTTCTGAAAACAGATTGCTTTTCAGAAGAGCAGTGGGTTTAGATGCATGTCTAAATCTAGATTAAGGCTAAGTTTACACTTGAGATTGGGGACAGTAAAAATAGATGATTGAGCCCTGTTTTTACCACCCCTCCAAACTGCAAAGGCAGCTGGACAGGGGTATACACATGCCGTGGCCGCATTGTATTGCATCACAGTGGAACAAAAACTCACTCTGCATCCTCTCGCATTTGACGGGCAGTACCGCCCACCAATTGCAACCCATTCAAGTGAATGGGTCCACAAGCAACCACCACATAACTGTGGGTGGGCTTTTGGGGTCAAACACCCTGGATTTTTTTCCCGCTTTTAATTTCATTTCTCTTATACTTTTCTTTTTTCTTTCCTTCTCCTGGTTTTTTATTTTTTTGATAATTGTTTGAAGTTTGCATATCATTTTTCTCTTTTTCTTCCATTATCAGTTATTGAAGAAAACTTTTTATTTTGCTTTTAATCCTTATTATGTTCTACCCTTTTTTGCAGTCCTGTATACTTTCATGGTTTCTTATTCCAATTTTACTTGCTATTATTTTTGCGAGGCATAGAGTGCATCCTTGTATCTTATGTATTTTTGTAGTGTCCACGTACCTTTTTTTCCACCGCTTTTTGTTTTTAGGGTTGTGCACACTTCTATTGGCAGTTACTCGGGTGTTGGTTTCGTATCCAATCAACGGCATCACCCTGCTGGAGTGTTTCTTATGTTATCCAACGTCCCGCATGTGCCTGCGTGGGTTTCATCCCCTACCTCTCTCCTTAATTTAAATTAGGACAGTACCTGGGGTTAGGTGTTTGGTGGTCCTGTGCTTTTTTGGTCCCAGAACCCCCCCCCCCCCCCCCCGGGGCCCCCCCCCCTCCCCCCCCCCCCCCCCCTTTTCCCCCCCCCCCGGGCCCCCCCCCCCCCCCCCCCCCCTTTTTTTTTTTTTTTTTTTTTTTTTTTTCCCCCCCCCCCCTTTTTTTTTTCCCCCCCCCCCCTTTTCCCTTCCCCCCCCTTTTTTTTCCCCCCCCCCCCTTTTGGGCCCCTTTTTTTTTTTTCCCCCCCCCCTTTTTTTTTTTCCCCCCCCCCCCCTTTTTTTTTTTTTTTCCCCCCCCTTTCCTTTTTTTCCCCCCCCCCCCTTTTTTTTTTTCCCCCCCCCCCCATCCCCCCCCTTTTCCCTTTCCCCCCCCCTTTTCCCCCCACCCCCCCCCCCCCTTTTTTTCCCCCCTTTCCCCCCCCCCCCAATTTTTAAAAACCCCCCCCCCCCCCCCGGGTTTTGGGGTTTTTTTTGCCCCCTTTTAAAACCCCCTTTTTTTTTCCCCCCCCCCCCCCCCCCCCCCCCCCTTTTTTTTTTGGTTTCCCCCCCCCCCCCCCCCCCCCTTTTTTTCCCCCCCCTTTTTTTTTTTTCCCCCCCCCCTTTTTTTTTTTTTCCCCCCCCGCCCCCCCCCCCCCCCTTCCTCCCCCCCCCCCCCCCCCCCCCCCTCCCCCCCCCCCCCCCCCCCCTCCCCCCCCTCCCCCCCCCCCCCCCTCCCCCCCCCCCCCCCCTTTTCCCCCCCCCCTTCTCCCCCCCCCCCCCCTTTTTTTTCCCCCCTTCCCCCCCCCCCCTCCCCCCCCCCCCCCCCCCCCCCCCTTTCCCCCTCCCCCCCCCCCCCCCCCCCCCCCCCCCCCTTTTCCCCCCCCCCCCCCCCCCCCTCCCTCCCCCTCCCCCCCTCCCCCCCCCCCCCCCTCCCCCCCCCCTCTCCCCCCCCCCTTCCCCCCTCCCCTCTCCCCCCCCCTCCCCCCCCCCCCCCCCCTCCCCCCCCTTTTCCCCTCCTCCCCCTTTCCCCCCCCCCCCCCCCTCCCCCTCCCCCCCCCCTCCCCCCCCCCCCCCCCCCTCCCCCCCCCCCTCCCCTCCCCCTTTCCCCCCCCCCCCCCCCCCCCCCCCCCTTTCCCCCCCTCCCTCCCCCCCCTTCCCCCCCCCCTCCCCCCCCCCCCCCTTTTCCCCTTTCCCTCCCCCCCCCCCCCCCCCCCCCCTTCCCTCCCTCTCCTCCCCCCTTCCCTCCCCCCCTCCCCCCCCCCCTTTTCCCCCCCCCTCTCCCCCCCCCCCCTCCCCCCTTTCCCCCCCCCCTTCCCCCCCCCTCCCCCCCTTCCCCCCCCCCCCCCCCCTCCCTCCCCCCCCCCCCCCCTCCCCTCCCCCCCCCCCCTCCCCCCCCCCCTTCCCCCCTTCCCCCCTCCCCCCCCCCCCCTCCCCTCCCTCCCCCCTCCCCCCCCCCTTCCCCCCCCCCCCCCCCCTCCCCCCTTTCCCCCCCCCCCCCCCCCCCCTTCCCCCCCTCCCCCCCCCCCCTCCCCCCCCCCCCCCCCTCCCCCCTCCCCCCCCCTCCCTCCCCTCCCCCCCTCCCCCCCCCTTCCCCTCCCCCTCCTCTCCCCCCCCCCCTCCCCCCTTCCCCCCCCCCTCCCTCCCTCCCCTCCCCCCCCTCCCCCCCCTTTTTCCCCCTTCCCCCCCCCCCTTTCCTCCCCTTTTTTCCCTCCCCCCCTCCCCTTTCCCCCCCCCCCCCCCCCTTTTTTTTTTTCCCCGGGGCGGGTTTTTTGGGCTGGGGGGTTTTTTAAAAACCCCCTTTTTTTTTTTTTGGGGAAAGGGGGGTTTTTTTTTTTTTTCCCCCCCCTTTTTTTTTTTTTTTTTTTTTTTGGGGGGGGGAAAAAAAAATTGGGAAAAAAAAAAAATTTTTTAAAACTTTTTTTTAAAAAAAAATTTTTTCCCCCGGGCCCTTTTTCCCCCCCCCGGGGGAAGGGGGCCCAAAAAAAGGGGGCCCAAAAAAACCCTTTTTTTGGGGTTTTCCTTTCCCCCCAAATTTTTTCCCCCCCAAAAAAACTCTTCCCTCCTCCTTCTCCCCCGTGATGGACTGGGACTATTTCTATCTATGGAGCGTGTGTCAGGGACAGTCAGTTTCATGGACCGCGGGTGTGGCAGCAGCCGAAGGAACCGTTTTTTTTTTTTGGGGAGGATTGGTGGGTCAGGTGTGTATACCCCCACTCTTCTCTCCCCTAGAGCGAAGCAGTTTTTTTTTTTGTTTAGCTTGGCATTCTGTGCATTAATGTGGAAGTAAAGGCAAAACCTAACTAACTCTGAGCCCTGTAAAAGGAAAAGAATTTCTATACTTACCTGTTCTGAATCCGCTCTGGTCCGGTCCCAGGCTGAGCTGTCAGTGGCGGCTTCAGTGTGTAGGAGAGGCAGCCGACAACAGAAGCTCCATAGTATCTCTATGGGGGACATCACTTTCCTGGCGTTTCCCAGCCTTTGTCGGCTGTCTCCAACACACAAAGGTTGCTGCTGGAGACCTCCTGGAGAAAAAAACGTCCACTGTGTGTGATGGGGACACCCAAAATCCATGGGTCTAAGTAACATTTTGACTGCTGAAGCCAGATTGATAATTAGATGTGTTTTGTTATACACACATGTAGTTAGACCTTCAAAAGTAGTGCTCTAACCGACTTGGAAATCTAATACAATTTATATGTCCTAAGTTGGGTGGGAACCTAACTTTCTAACTGCTTTGAAGTTTTATTCTGGTTTCTGGTGGAGTTCATTGGAATGTAAATGGGCGTTCAGTCAGGCATGAGAGAGCAATCCTCCCAGCTGGAGGTGTAAATAGAAGTCTAACACAAAATGTACAGCTGTTACACAATAAGACTTGTGATAATAATAAAATATACAGTGAAGGAAATAAGTATTTGATCCCCTGCTGATTTTGAATGTTTGCCCACTCACAAAGAAATGATCAGTCTAAAAATCGAACGGCAGGTGTATTGTAACACTGAGAGACAGAATAGCAACATAAAATTCAAAAGAAATGCATGTCTAACAAATTATACACTGATTTGCATGTTCACGAGGGAAATAAGTATTTGATCCCCTTCACAAAACATGACTTAGTACTTGGTGGCACCCTTGTTGGCAATTACAGAGGTCAGACGTTTCCTGTAGTTGGCCACCAGGTTTGCACACATCTCAGGAGGGATTTTGGCCCACTCCTCTTGGCAGATCCTCTCCAAGTCATTAAGGTTTGGTGGCTGACGTTTGGCAACTTGAACTTTCAGCTCCCTCCACAGATTTTCAATTGGATTAAGGTCTGGAGACTGGCTAGGCCACTCCAGGACCTTAATGTGCTTCTTCTTGAGCCACTCCTTTGTTTCCTTGGCCGTGTGTTTTGTGTCATTGTCATGCTGGAACACCCATCCAAGACCCATTTTCAATGCCCTGGCTGAGGGAAGAAGGTTCTCACCCAAGATTTAATGGTACATTGCCCCATCCATCGTC